GTATCCCCACTGTAGCCTCCTTCATGCCCTCCCAATCCTATCCTCCCCCCCCCTTATCTCCTTCCTTGTCCCTCCCCAAGTCCACTGCTAGGGGAGTTCCTCCTCCCCTTCCATCTAACCCTAGCTTATCAGTTCTCATCAGGAATGGTTGCACTGTTCTCCTCTGTGGCCTGGCAAGGCTGCTCCCCTTCAACGGGTGGTGATCAAAGAGCCAGCCACTTAGTTCATGTCATGTCCTGTTCCCATTACTAGGGAACCCACTTGGAGACTGAGCTGCCTTGGGCTACATCTGTGTAGGGGTTCTAGAGGTTCTATGTTATCTCCATGCATGGACCTTGGTTAGAATATCAGTCTCGGAAGAGATCCCTGTGTCCAGAAATTTTTGATTTACTCTCCTTGTGGAGCTCCTGTCCCCTCCAGGTCTTCCTATCTCCCCCTTCTTTCATAAGATTTCCTGCACTCTGCCCAAAGTTTGGCTATGAGTCTCAGCATCTCCTTCAGTACCTTGCTGGGTAAAGTCTTTCAACGACTTTCTGTGGTAGGCTCCTGTCCTGTTACCTGTTTTCTTCGTCTTCCTATGTCCATCACTTTTGCCTTTCCGAATGAGGATTGATCATCTTTACCAGGGTCCTCCTTCTTGCTTAACTTCTTTAGGTGTACAGATTTTAGTATGATTATCCTATATTATATGTCTAATATCCACTTCTAAGTAAGTACATACCATGTGTGTCTTTCTGTTTCTGGGATACCTCACTTAGGCTGATCTTCTAGTTCCCACCATTTGTCTGCAAATTTCATGATTTCCTTGTTTTTAATTGCATTGTGTTAATTCCATTGTTTTAATTCTACTGTGTAAATGTACCACAATTTCTGTAACCATTTCTCCATTGATAGACATCTGGGCTGTTTTCAGCTTCTGGCTATTACAGTTAAAGCTGCTACAAACATGGTTGAGCAAATGTCCTTGTTGTGTACATCTTTTGGATATATGCCTAGGAGTGGTATAGCTGGATCTTGAGGTAACACTATTTCTAATTGTGTGAGAAAGCGCCAGACTGATTTCCAAAGTGGTTGTACAAGTTTACATTCCCACCAGCAATGAGTAGGGTTCCTCTTTCTCCACATCCTCTCCAGCATGTATTGTCACTTGAGTTTTTGATCTTAGCCATTCTGATGGGTGTAAGGTGAAGTCTCAGGGTTGTTTTGATTTGCATTTCTCTGACAGATAAGGATGTTGAGCATGTCTTTAAGTGTTTCTCTGCCATTCTTTGTTTAGCACTGTACCCCATTTTTTAAATTGGGTTACTTGATTTGTTGCTGTTTAGCTTCTTAAGTTCTTTATATATTCTGGATATTAGTCCTCTGTCAGATATAGGGTTGGTGAAGATCCTTTCCCAGTCTGTATGTTGTCGTTCCTGCCCACTAGAGATACAGTTGCTACAAAACTGCCCCAAATGCCCAGAACCACTTAAAGAGATACCATCTTCTGGCAAATCCACCCAGATAGCCAGGCTAGGACTGTTTATGGACTTGGCGCCTAAAGTAAACCAATCATTTCAAAAGTCAGTTTCCCTTACCCAATCATGCAACACCAAGGCATGTAACTCCCTGTTTGTAGTTTTTCCCTTTAAAGACCTTGTTCCCTTAGTCTGCACCACTGCATTCCTCCTCTTCACCAAGAAGATTGCTGCAACCCAGGATTTAGCTTGTATTAAATAAACCCTCATGCATTTGCAGTGGAGTTGATTCCTGGAGGTCTTTGGGGGTCTCACAAACTGGGCATAACAAATCTTTTAACACATAAATAGAAAAGTAATAAATAAGTACTAGATTAAGATACAGATACAGCTTGTCATACATGAAATTATATTTGCACATGCTATTCTTTACTGTATTATTTATAATACCAAAATGTGGGAAAAAGATCCAAGAATACATCAAATGAGAAAATATTTTAAAATCATGCCAAATGGTCAGCAAATATTGTTATTTATGAAAGTGACTGAGTATACTATATATATGTATCAGTCATATATACATATGGAAAGATATTAAAAATGTGTTGTTAAATCATAAAGCATGGCACCCAAGGCTTGGTGGTACATGCCTGAGAAGTCAGCACTGTGAAGGCAGAGGAAGTAGGATCGCAAGTTTGAGGATAGACAATCTGGTTGGCGAAATGGTAGGTTGAGGTCAGTCTAGACTGTAGAGTAACACTTCATCTCAAAGCAGCAGCAGCAGCAACAACAACAAAGTGAACTAACAAACAGAAACAATAAAGTAAAAAAAAACTTAATGATGAAAGATAGGATCAATAAAATATTTATTTTTGTTTATACAAATATTATAAATCTAATAAATCTAATAAATAATAAAAGTGGTTATATAATAGGTATGGGGAGCTGTGGATGAAAACAATGGTGAAAGTAGAAGTTCTTAAAATATAGCATCAAGTATTGGTTAAACTCAAGATAACTGAATTCATTTCTATTTAAAACACATTAACAAAGACTACTGAAGTGAAAACTAGCCAGTGGAATTTGAATATTAGAAACCTGGACAGTATTTTTAAAAAGCAGCAAAGCTGTTAAAGATTTGGAGATGTTTTACAAGGGGGGCATAAACTTGAAGGAAAGGTAATATACACTATGGGATACTACTCAGCTGTAAAGAGAAATGAAATCATGAATCTTGCAGGCAAATAGATGGAACTAGAAAAGATGATGCTGACTGATGTAAGCTAGACCTAGAAAGACAAAAGCTCTCCATCTGTGGGTTCTAGCTCCAAATCTTCAAATATAAGTATATAATCTGGAGTAACTGCAGAAACTAATAAAGTAAAAGGAGACCAAAGAGGGAGAGGAGCAGTAGAGAGGGGAACAGCAAACTACAAGTGTTTTGAATGGGGAAATCAGAAAAACAGGGACAGGGCTCTAAATAGGGAGGGAGAGGAAAATAAAAATAGAAAAAGGAGGAGTGGGGATATAAAATAACAGCAAAGATGTCTGAAAAGTCATAAAGAACCATATAATTATCCACTCATCTAAAATTACATATTATATGTACAAGTGTGTGTGTGTATGTGTGTGTGTGTGTGTGTGTGTGTGTATGCAGTTTAAGTGAAAATTTCTATCTGTGCATATATACATATGTAGTTTCAATAAAATTTTCTAATGCTCCTCTCAAGAGCCAAAGACTATCAAACCCAAACCCCTAAACCAGGCATGAGAATCCCCACTTTGAGTTGTTGGTCAGGGTTGTCCAAAACATAGGACATTGGTATTGTTCTTATCTAGCTCCAAGAGGTGGAAGATAAGTCTCTGTCTTAGTTAGGGTTTCTGAGATCAGATGAGATAGGGTGCGTTCAGGATGGTATGGCTGTAGACATAAAAGTAGAGCTCTCCTTCCTTCCTTCCTTCCTTCCTTCCTTCCTTCCTTCCTTCCTTCC